AGCCCTGTCTAAGATCCCCTTGTCTGAGAAAAACCCTGCCCGAAACCCAAGCTGAAACAGTCGTGTGAATTGGCGCCGTGCCCGCGATTACGGACACGCAAACAGCTGTCACTTGCACGGCTCTTTCCTCATTTCCTGCAACATTTAAGTTGTAATTTGGCTTATTTGAGGTTTTCCTTATTTGCTTTGAAGGGTTACCATGTGTTTTTGTAAGCGCAGTTTATTTCTCTGTCGCCATTTCTCAGTGTTCCTGCTGTCTTATGGCTTTGTTCAAGGTTTTCACCTCTTTTGATGACCACATTTCAAATCCCTGGCTTGGATTATGGAAGTGATGAAAGTTCACCAGAACCGGAGGAGGATCCGTTGGTCAGTCGTTCGATTTGTTCGATTTCCATGTTTATCAATCTCATTATTGCCAGATTTCTAGACCCTAGAACTCTCAAATTAAACTACACTACTACACGAATTAGGAGGTGGGGGAGGGCAAAAAACGGTAGTAATGTTGTTGTGGAATGTGGGTTGACGTCCTATTTTTTTCCAAATCCACTAGAATAATGTAGAGGATTTCTCAGTGTCCCCAGCACGGTTGTGACATCTGTTTTGGTGCCAGCCGTATCGGCCCACTAGGTCGGGTCACATTTTGCAGTTCGGTTTTGTGGAGTAGATAAGTATCGTACATGCTATTCCGCGATCTCATAATCGCATGTATGATCGATACGTATTTTCTCTAGGAGAAAGCGTAAGATCACAAAATCGCATAAAGACCGACGTCATAGTCGGCGACGGACCAAGCGATGGAGCGATCGCGATCGCTCCATCGCTTGTCCAATCGCTCTCGGTCGAGCGATTGGCAAGCGATTGCGCAATCGCTTGCAATGTGCACAAGCGACGGGCGATTGGCCCCGCCCCCAGTCAATGCAGTCGGCTGCGGTATCGATCGAGCAGAGCCATTGCCCGTCGCTTGTGCACTTTGCAAGCGATTGCGCAATCGCTTGCCAATCGCTCGACCGAGAGCGATTGGCAAGCGACGGACAAGCGATGGAGCGATCGCGATCGCTCCATCGCTTGTTCCGTCGCCGACTATGACGTCGGTCTAACGCTGGTCGCATTAGTATGACCGGCGGTAACGACTGACAACAAAGTTTCACGTGGTGTAATGATTTTCTTGGAGTTACACAAACTATAAACTCATGAACATGGTTCTCAGTAATGGCTCATAAAATCGACATGCGAAAAATATTCTGTTTAGAAACTGAGTGGGCAGCGCTAGAGCTGTGGGTAAAATGCAGACGCTCTATTTTACATTGCAACAAATTCAGCCGTTTGTTTCTAGTAATTTCTTTTTGATTTTTTCTGCTCCATTATACCTGGGCTCAGCTTCTGGACTTGTTTTTGTCATCACTTCACCTTTAGTTCTATTAAATAATTTGTTTCAGGAGAGCCACATGTGTATTGATTGCTATAGTATCGCGATGAAAATCGTACAGCAGCCCAAGGGAACGCCACTAGCGGACAAATATCTCGCCGTGCATGAGTTAAGCAGTACGTGAATTTTCTTTCCTTTTTTTGTAAGGTATAACGAGCTAAGACTGTTTCATTGTTCGCATCTGCGCATGCTTTCTATATTGGAGGCGGGCCCTTTCCCAATATTCAGCAGCTTCATTCATGAAAAAGCACGTGAGTGAGTAAAGTCTGTAAAATTACCCAGTGGCTATCATTTGGCAGTTGAAACGTTGGGAATGCTTTGCCACATAGTGGGGGATGAACTGCTCGATGTGCGGAAGCAGCATGGGATAGTTCTTCACCACAGAATTTTCAAATCTATTACGATGGTAATATTAATCAGGAAAGCATTGTAGCTCTTATGGTAATCATGGTCTGTGCATATTTTTCCCAATTAGTGCTTCCCTCAAGGGGTATTTGAAAGTGATTTTTTTTTTTTTTCAAAAAAAACGCCCGGCTAAGCTTGCTGCTTTCGAATCAACACAACTGGCTTTTTGCTTGCGGTTAGCTAGAATGGTGATAAAACTTTTCTTCACGAGAAGGGATCTGGGACACGTGCAAGCATCGCATTTTCGCCAACGTGTTAATCAACACCATTAACCTAAAAATAGTGGGGATATCGCCTACGTTGTAGTTGTGCTTTATATTGAACACATAGCTTCGCCAGTTTTTGCATTGTTTCCGATTAACCCTCGGGAACCATTGGAAAGATTATCAGCCCATATGTGGGCTGCAATCTGTGACCGCATTGATTTTTGCAAACCGTTTTCAGCAAAAGAGAGGAGGCCTTTTGTTTATTTTCTCTTTCTGTATTGTTCAGGAAGTATTCCTCTGTACCATATAATGAATTCTTCTTTGCACTTTGCTTAACAAGTTTCCTAAAACAAGCTTTTACCGAAGTCCACGCGGCCGCAAAACCTGAAACGTGCGCGTTCTTCAGTGTGCCCAAGTTTTCGATTTTCTTTATTTTAATCTCGTCTATCTTCCAACCAAATGTCGAAATGCTTGTTTGAACTTTTAATGTTTTCTCTATATGATCAGTCATCATCTACATGTTTCCCTAAATGTACAGTTTAGTTATTTTCTTGCAGATGAGGAAATAGTTCTTTTTGGTAACGCGTTGAAGGAAAGCGATATTGATCCCGAAGGCGATGACTTTATTCGTATGTTCCTGAATTTTTCGCTTGTTGTTAAATAAGTGTTGTCCATGTCAGGTGATTGCAGACTGTGATAGATGTAACTGTTATTATCGTGCCTCTTGTAAGGAGCACCCTCTTTTTTGGGTGAAGGATCGTGAACCGGTTGGTATTGAAGGCATTTACTCAGGTTCCATTTGTCGTTGTCAACTCTGCAATTTCATTCACATTCCACTATTTTTCCAGAGTAAAAATTCAAAGCCCGAAGATCGTGCTCGAATGACTGCACCAGCTTTTATAAGTATCAAAACTTCTTCAATACCTAACGCAGGCTTGGGAGCGTTTGCTGAAGCGTGTATCCCTGTAAGTCTTCGCTTTCAACTTAGACAAAGATTTATATTTCTCTTTGCTTAGTTTATGGTGTGTTGCAGTACGTTATAGGTTGGTATGGTGTTCGGCCCATATCAAGGCATACTACTGGAAGATGCTTCTGAAGCGGAGAAAGACGGATATTGTTGGGAACTTCGGTACTGGTTGATCGTATTTAAATAGTTTCAAGTTTCTGTTCGTCTTTTCTTCCTCTGTTTAAAGTTACAACATTTTCCAGAAGTCACACAGGTCCGCACTTCATCGATGGTAGTAACACACAGTATTCAAATTGGATGCGATATATTAATAGTTCTCGACGTGAGTGTTGGCCCCTTTATCTCGAACATTCTTTAACCCATTCGTGACAATGGCAGCCACCGGTGGCTGACAAAGATCTCACTCGGGACAATGGTATCCACCGGTGGCTGCCGTGTTTCAAATGGAATTTGGAAAGTTTTCTTTCCTGAAAAGAATCTTCATACCCTCATTCATCTACGCCAGCCCTGGGCAGAGGAAATCTCCATCCACTCAAATTTTATTGAAGAAAAATCTCCTGACTCTCCTGCTATTGCGCAATCCGGCGCGGTCGCGACTGGGTTAAATATTAAAGAGCAGACCTCCTATGACAATAGAAGTGTTGCTTGCGATATTTGCAATTCAGCGACAATGTTTTAGCTTTTTTACGGGCTGGCTCCAAAGCGCTTAGAAAGTAACTAGTCCGAGTAGCCAAAAGTCACCTCAAAATCGTATGATTGTGTTGTCGAATTAAAATCGTTTTGATGCCAAGGTATCCTTTACGGCCAGAAACAACATTGTCCGCCAAATGCCGCGTGCAATTCCTTATGGTAGCTCAACTGCCAGTTGTTTTCTTGGAATACAAAAAAAAGGAAAAAACGGATCCGATCCCATCCCGACATTGTAGTTAGTAAAATATAGCGGCAAGGATATCAATGAACTCTAACTCTTCAGTAGACTCTTTATGGTTTAGTTATACTTATTTTGAAGGTAAGCCTCCGGAATAAATGGGGTGTGTAAAAATGTTCAAAAATGAAGTTGCGGAGAGCGGAGGGAACTATGCGAAGCCCCCAGTGACCTCTGTAATGCGGAACCGACACTAGTCCCATGCGCTCTCTGTGAAACAGCCTCCTCGCATTTCCCTGTCATGATCGCCTCTCTGTATATCAACACGGAAACCCGGCAATGTTTACCCTTTACTGCCCCACTCCTCGAGAACTGAGCCGGGTTTTTATCGAAATTGGTCATGACTGTGAATTTGGCTAGAAACTTGCTTCAGGGGTAATTCGACCCGTAGAACACGAATATCACATTTGTTTACCGCTAGAACGCCTGGCGCTCGCGCCAGAAGCGCCGGCGCCAAAAGGCGCCAGAACATCTCGGATCACCCAAATTCGCTGGAAACTTGTCCTCAGAGGTATTTGACCCGTAGAACATGAATATCACATCAGTTCGTTGCGAGTGAGCCTGTAGCCTGCGCTACGGGCGCCCGCGCAAAACTGTTGTGATAGCGCCGGCGCCTGTGGCGCGGGCGCCAAGCGTTTTCGCGCTAAACCGGTGTGATATTCGTGTTCTACGGGTCGAATTACTTCGAGAGAGCGACTCTTAAATGAACTTCAATGCAATTGAAATTCAAAAAAAAGACTGCGGATATCAGCTTTACTTCAACCTCTTCCATTTCAACTTCATTCAGCCACAAATCCTGTATCTCACAAAATCCTTAACACAATCTTCACTCAAATGTTCGGGAGTTGAAAACGTCTACACGTAATCTATGAATTTATTCCAGATGACAAGGAACAAAATCTGTTGGCGTTCCAATACTGCGGTGGAGTATACTATCGAGTAATACGACCGATCAAGATCAAGGACGAGCTATTAGGTGGGAAGAATCGCTGCCTACGTATTAACCGCCTTCGATGATTCTTCTTTTTTTCCTCTGTAATTATTTTTCACATATCTTTTTTAGTTACCCTAGGGAACATAATTTATTTAGAGACATAGAGAAACATTCTCTTTCAATTTATGTGATGAATCACTGGTGTTTTCAATGGTTATTGTGCTCTTAGGGAAGTCATAATAGTTGCTTGAATGCGGGAAATTTAACTATAGCATAAATTCAGGCAAAACTAGGACCTGCTGCTTCAGCCTCTTATTCTGGGTTTACTTAGCTTTTCCTCTTAGCTTCCGGTTACTGTTACCTTCATTTTCCTCTTTGCTGTTTTCCTACTTAAAACATTTTCAATAAACTTTTTCTTTCCTTTTCAATGTTTCTTAATTTAATGTGCAGTGTGTCACCACCACTACTACCACTATCCTGTTTTAGTGTGGTATGGTAAGAAGTTCGGCAAAAGTCTCGGCGTTTTCACGACTTTGCGTTCTGTGAAGAAGCCAATCGCGGCCGCAAACAAGAATCCGTTTATTCTCTAATGCGATGGTACGTTTGTGTGGTTAAGTCGTGGTTAAGGGTGGTGGTGACAGCACACTGTTTTTGGACTTCTCCATTGGGCAGAACAAAGTGTAGCACAATTCAGTAAAATACTGGTGATCATTCTTTTTGAAAGAAAACCAGTGATTGAGTACTAAAGGTGGTTTACTCGTTGCGAACCGTACTTGCACATCGGATATCTATACTCGATATCCGAGAGTTGGGGTAGGCGTGTCACCGGAAGTGACGTGCACTTGATAGAAGCTATGTGGATAAGCTGCTTCCAACATACATCGCTGGATATCAGCAAAGCATGCTGGCAACAGCTTATCCACGCAACTTCTATCAAGTGCACGTCACTTCCGGTGACACACCTACCCCAACTTTCGGATATCGACTGTATGTGTCGGTACTTTTTTACGTTCCAACCATTGTCACACCTTCTACGCGTATAGTCGTTCGTTGAATTATTGGTAGAATTACTTTTGAAAAAAAAGACGGTAAGGTGCGGCTTTACACGAAGTAGCCGGTGAGCCCATTGATAAAAGTCTGGTTATCTATCATAACCACAAGTTAAGGTAATGGATGTGATAGCGGTGCTGTCCATTCAACACATGAAAAATAAATGATAAGTTCAGTACCAGAGTTGTAGCCTCCTCAGAAGCTGATAGTCGTAAAGAAAAGCTCAGTCCTTCTCAAGTTGGAGGTAAGCAACTTGCTGGCGGGCTCCGTTTATGTCACACGATTGATCTGACAACTTAAAGGATAGACTAGGTGGTTGAGAATTCACCTGGCCCTTTCGCGCTATGGCTACATTCATATTTTTGTAAAGAAATTTTCTTATGTCAAGATGTGAACATTTATTGAACATGTGAAAAAAGTGCAGGATGCAAATGTTATGGTAAAGAAAGCAACGAAGCGGTAAAAGTCCCGTAGTAGTAAAGAAGGAGAGGCTGGATGCGAGTGAAACTTAAAAGCTCTCCATAAGGCGACAGTACGGTTAGAACGGATCAGATTAGAAAAGGAAACAGCAATATGTGGCTAACTCTTCACATCACGGAGATACGGAATCGATTGATCGCGGAGGGCTGACACATGGAGATGATTCTTGACTCTGGAATAGTATCATCTTTTATCACACTTTCCTTGAATTTTCATGAAACCTTATTAAATGAAAGCTCCAGGTTGCTAGCATATAAATCATAGGCCGCGATAAACACTGAACTCTGAGTTCTTACAATTTCCCATTGCCTTCCAAGCTTATGTTAAGCTACAAGAAATCGCGACGATAAAGCTTCACAAGAATAGTATTCTAAACTAGTTGAAATAGAAAAGGTGACTACAAAAGCAAGCATGTTAGCATATTTTGAACAGCCAAAGGAAAGTGTTAGGGAAGAAGAGAGGGAAGAAACTGTCACCTCTCCGTCGAAGAAATTCGTCCAGAAACAGGACGGCTAACAATTTTTTTTTCTAAGAGAGCTTTGTTCCAGAAACAGTCTGTAATGGTTACCTTACACTCATTAAATGACTTAAGGAGATGATATTAATATTGAGAATTATAAAATTTGAGCAGCTCACCTTTGCCAATTTTCGCTCCGCATCTTGTAGTCTTTTTTCCATTTTTGCAAGGCTAACGGCCATAATGTCCTCCGAAGATGTGGTGCTGGTCGGCACGAGAATGACTCGCGGTGGTTTCGATCCCTTGGGCAGCTCTGTGGGCTTGAGGTAGTAACCACGTTCTAAATTGTGCGAATCAGACAACAAGCTTCTTCAAACAAAACAAAAGATTTCTGTGCAGATCACTCACCAATAATAGAAAATCGTTCGTTGAGAGTTACATGTCGATTTGAATAGTTCGAGGCACGTTCGGGGAGCTTCACGAAATTTCTTTGGATGGCAGCCCGACCCTCGATTGGCTCTATGGTATATGTAACACCAGTCATTTTCTTGGATTGGATAAACTCTGAAAGAAATAGAATTTCATAAACTTTATTTCATAAACTCGTTACGGAGAACAAGGAATGAGCAGAAGAGATACGCAAAGAGCATGTCGCTTCCCTTGTTTGCTTAGATCTGATTCCATGTTTTCGCTCTGGGCTTCAATAGCTTGGGCAAATTCAGAAATGTAGTCCATGATTAAATGATTCAGAGAATTTGGAAGCTTCGTTTCAGCTGCTCTGAAATGGAACCTGTTGATTTGTCCGGTTTTGGATGCAGTTGCAAAGTTTTGTTCGCCTTCAAAAATCGTACTTAAGTCTCATTCCAGTAAGGGATGCGGTGCAACAGTTCCGCCGTCATGGAAATTCAATTTTTTTTTGCTAAAAGAGGAAACCCCGGGGAGCATGAGCCATCCCGCTCCCTTTCGCTCCCTCTCAGAGCTTCATTTCCATTAGAAAAACTCGATTACTTCATGTGATATACACTATCGCGCCACATACATTCCTCCCTTGCTGACTAAATGAGACCATCGTGCTTCAATGTTAAAACTCATATGGATGGAAAAATCTGCAGTGTGCATTTGTAGTCTGAAAGGAAGTTACAAGTGAAGATACACGAACTAATCAGAACAAATTCAGATACCACGTTCGATGGCTCCAGTATGCTTACAACTAGTTCTATTTTCGAAATTGTTCTTCTTCACCTTTCACCGGTTCTAATTTGTGTGATACTTGTACTTGTACATGATTACGGCATATTTCCTGCCTTTCAGAATTCGCTTGAGACCAGTACCATAACTGTTTCTTTCTGTGTTACAAAAGAGGTGCAAATTTTCCCCTCATTGCCAAGTTCTTATTAGCCAGCTCATCAATGTTTCAAGTTGTAACTGGGGTTTCTGTGAATTGAAGAGTTGAATAAAACAATTCAATATGAGTATTACCGTGTTTTTTTCCATTTGGAAAACCGTGTATATTACGGATGTGGTATTAAATTTAAGGTAAAATGGACAATTAAAGAAGGAAGGAAAAACTTACGCAGAATCAAGAAAGAACCAAAAGAAGTGGGACTGGGCAGTACTGCTTTTGAACTTCCCGCGCATCTCGCGTATTGGCGCCAATTGTAAATGGTTCAAGTCGTATTTTCGATGTCTTTACTTTTCTTAGCGAAAAATTCAATTGACAGATAAAAACACGCCTGTAATTTTGGTCTTCCAAAGGGTCAAATTTTGGTTTTCGTCTAGCAAATTGCCATGAAGAAATAGATCAATCTTCTAAGTGTCACAAATTCCTTTGTTGTTAGACTTGAGGTAGTTGGGCGGCTCCGCTTTTCTTCAAAGTGGGAGATTGGCAAAATAGTTTACAAAGGACCAAGGTTCAATAATAACTAGTCATGTTTAATGTTTATATATTCACAGATGGCTACCTTGAGAAAGTTAAGGCGACGACATTCATGGTGTTGGACGTTCTTGAAGATAAGGGCCCGTGCGAAATCTTCAGTTTAACTACAATTTTGGGATCTTATCTAATCATGGGAGCAAGTGAGTGCCGACAGTTGGAGGTAGTCTCCTCTTAGCGGGTAAAGCGGGGTGAATATGTTCAACGCACCCGGCGATTCCTCCGTTTGTGGAATTGGGATTTCCTGTAGGATATGGAGCTGTCGCCAGCACATGGCATCTCCGTAAATGATGAGAAGCCAGCGTTGTCCTGTTTTTAGATTAGACGTAACTCTCGGATTATTCCCGGACTGTCTTCTTTCTTTCGCTTCAAAAATGGGATGGAGTCCGATGCGCTCGCGCGATGCTCACGAAGCAGTTACGCCCCGGCGACGGTGATGCGTTATTTCATTTCAGAACAAAACTAACAAAGTGTGTCCTTCCTGATGGAAGGTGGAACAATTTGTCGTTTGGTTTTGAGAGTGACTGGGGCGTATGTTCCCAGACAGATGGCGACGTTTTCGGCGTTGGCGAACGCGAAGTCGCTTTCTGTCATAGTTGCAAACACATTGTCCAATGTTGTTAAGGAACCAGAAGTTCTCGTGGCATTTCGGGAAGATGTAGGAGATGCTGTGGAATAGAGGTTACGGTGTGGCCATACCGTGCAACTGGCCTTTTGTACAGGTCGTTTTGGCTGTTGAGTTGTTGAGTAGATAGTAGTGCGATCACCCACTGCACAATATGTAACTTTCTCATCGCAGCTGCAAGACGGTCGCCAAGTATAACCGTACCATTGGCCTATGTAGCTGCCTTGTGTAGAAGAGTACCAGCAGTTAGATGTCGGTCAGACTCTGCGATTGCATCGCGCGATGCAGTCGCTCTGCCTAGAGCGATTGCATCGCGCGATGCAGTCGCTCTTGCAATGTGCACAAGCGACGGGCGATTGGCCCCGCCCACATCGATGCAGTCGACATCGATATCGATCGCGGCGGGCCATTGCCCGCCGCTTGCACTTTTGGCAGAGCGACTGCATCGCGCGATGCAATCGCAGAGTCTGACCGACACCTTAAGCGCGCCCCAACGCATTCGTTTCGGTGACTTCGGACATTTTTGGCACTATTCAACTATTACGACCCCAAAAACTCAAAATTTTATTTTTCGTCGAAACTTCGCCTATAGGGGTAATTCGGTGCCCTGATCACGAAAATGAGGTTCATTTTTGGCGCTGGCGCCATTTGGCGCCAAGGGTGTTTTCACCAAATTCGCTGTAAACTTGCACATAGGGGTTATTTGAGGTCCTGATCACGAATATGACATTCATTTTTGGCGCTGGCGCCATTGGCGCCATTGGCGCCAATTGGCGCCAAGGGTGTTTTCACCAAATTCGCTGTAAACTTGTGAATAGGGGTTATCGAGGCTCCTGATCACGAATATGACCTTAGTTTTGGCTCAATTTCTCTAGGTGACGCTCGAAATAGATGTCATCTAGGCGCTCATCCAGTAAGGGGGGCATCAAGTGGCTGCCCTCACCCCCCACCCCCTAGACTGCCTACACTCCCCCTGGCACACAGGTTTCTCGAAGTACGGGACCCCGTGAGCCAGGGGGAGTGAAGCCAGTTCAGGGGGGTGGGGGTGAGGGCAGCCACTTGATGCCCCCCTTACTGGATGAGCGCCTAGATGACATCTATTTCGAGCGTCACCTAGAGAAATTGAGCCAAAACTAAGGTCATATTCGTGATCAGGAGCCTCGATAACCCCTATTCACAAGTTTACAGCGAATTTGGTGAAAACACCCTTGGCGCCAAATTGGCGCCAAATTGGCGCCAAATGGCGCCAGCGCCAAAAATGAACCTCATTTTCGTGATCAGGGCACCGAATTACCCCTATAGGCGAAGTTTCGACGAAAAATAAAATTTTGAGTTTTTGGGGTCGTAATAGTTGAATAGTGCCCTTATTTTGGAGTGTATCTCTGATTCTTCTGTGCAGCAGGCTCTTAAGAGATAGTTAGAATGAAGGCCACCTGGTGGATGCCTACTTGGATCGCCGCAATTTCTAAGGTTGAGAGTCTTTGCAGTTCTGAGATGTCGTCGGGAAACTTCCAGACTGCTATCTTTATCTCTTCAAAACAACGGTGGAGCCACTAACCAGCAATGGGTTTAGTGGCAGTCTCACGTTGGTGCGGTGGCCCGTCGTTGCTGCTACCTGCGGGTGCTCATACTCGAAAATGGTTGTACTAAACCTACCTCCCACAGACGATGTTATATGGAACTAGCTAGGAAATCCTCGTTTGAAATGTCCTACTGTTTATCATAATCGATTAAGCCGGTAAACGTGATATTTTCGGGTTCGAGGTTTCCACGGCGGTAAACCATTACTGGAACAGTGCCAGATCAGGGTGGCCGTAAGTAGGTGGCTTTCCCCGCGAATTGAGTAGAGCAATGAAGATACATCCGTAGAATAGTGGGAAACCGCTTGGAGATAGCTTGCGTCGGCTTCTCACAAGTGAGGTGAAAAGGGCCGCCACTGATGGTGAGTGGTCTGATTCAGGCCAAGGAACTGAAGTTACGCTGCTTGGAGCCACTTCACTTTCCTTTCCTTGTGCGGTGCTAGCTATTTTGTGGATGGCTAGCGGTCTGTCTGTACATTCTGGCAGTTAATGTCGTCCAGGAGTTACCTGAGGAACCATCTGCGAATTTCCAATTTTGAAGTAAATCCAAAAGCGTCATCCGAATGTCGGTTCTAACCATAAGTGAGTTTGTTGCGCCTGTTCCGCACCGTTGGAGCCTGCAGCTTTTGATACTTATTATACTGTGGCTCTTCTAATGGTGGATACTGTGTTGTTTCGTTTCGAAGGTCAGATTTCAGTTTCAAAAATAGGATCACTGCATTAATTTTTCGAAAACTTGTCTTGGAATGCATTCAATAACCTATGCTAACCTATAGCTTCACTAGTGCACCCTGAGCGCTGCTCCAATCAGTGGTTCGAATGTGCCGAAGGCTTTACAAGCTAAAGCAGTAATGTAGAATTTTCTTTTTTTTTTGTTTCTTTTCTAGACGACTTCATAGTTTCAGGGCGACAGCTTGGTGTAGCAATCAGTTGCTTATTCGAAGTAAGAACAGATTTTCTGGAATTTCTCGCTTTGATGCCGAATATTAGCTTTTACCTGATACCCTACCTGACAGGAGTGACAATAAAAACCATCCTCTTCTTGAGACTTCTCCTGTTTTTTTACTAGCACACATGAGTCCTGAGGTGTATATGTAAGTAAACATAGGACTTAGTTGCTGAAACCTTTATGGTATATGCGTGGTTGTCCCCTTGCCTTCTGGTACACTTCATGAGTATAAATTGATTTGATGCAGTGATTTTCAGCGGGAATTTTGCACAGAGGTGGGCGAACACGCGACGCCAAACCACTCACATGGGACAAGTTCTTCGATGAGAATCGCCAGGTCGATGTGGATGGTGACAGCTTCAATGTCTACCTTAAGGTTCGAGAGAAGCAATTAATTGGATTCTTTATCGGCCAGTTGTCCAGATAAAATTTGCTTTTTTTGTTACTTTTTTTGATTCCAACGATTCCCAAGCTATCATACAGTAGTCCATTATTTCAATTATTTGATGCTTCCACCTTATATTTTCGAATAGTCAGTTACTGATTACAAAGAGCAACCAAGTAAAAGTTTACTTTTTTTTCCGCATTGTTGTTGTCGTTTTCGGTCACTGTTTGTGAAAGATTCTTTAGGGAAAAATTTTGGTTTTTTAGTCGTCGAGTGATTAAGGCGTCAAAATTTCATCTGAGTCTGGTGGTTACGGGAAAAAATCAAAGAAATCTCGAGGACTTCGCATTTGGGTCATATTTACGGAAAAGAGGCCAGCAACATATTGAAAGTCTATCCCCTAATTAGCAGTTGCTGTACTAAATTAACATTTTTTACAGGGCACTACTGGGCCAGTATTTTACTTTCTCCATGGTGGTGGATACTCAGCATTGACGTGGGCATGTCTTGCGGTGAGCTCGCAAATTTTTTTGGATCAAGCCATCTTCTTTTTCATTACAGAGATCGGTTTATATCAATTGAATCGCTTTTGTAGTCGGCTTTATTTACCCTTCACTGCCCTTTCCTTTAGGAACTGGGCTGGATTTTTTCTCTGAGATTTGTAAATGGTGGTGAATGAAACTAAGTTCTCGATGGAGGATAGACCTATAGAATACGAATATCACATCTGTTTGACGCGAAGACTTTTGGCCGTCCCACAGGCGCCGGTGCCAAACTTCTTTAGCTGAAAATCCAATGCGCTGAAAACTTGCACTCATAATCAGAGGTTTTTATTAGGGGACAAGGAACTGTTCTGGCGTGCGCAGAAGTCAGCGCAAAAATAAGCAGTGTGATTTTCGTACTCAAAGTCGAACTGTCTTTATTTGCAACTTTTTGGTCAAATCTACCCCGATTTTACAAGTTTCAAAAGAAACGGTCAAGTTTTCGAAGAGTGGGGCTGTAAAGGGTGCATGATGCCAATGATTTTTCTCGTAATGGCAAGCTTTGGGCTACACTTTGAACCAGGGTTTAATTCATCAAGAGGAGAGGCATGTGTGGTTGCCGCTTATAGCAATGCCCTTTTCTTGAAATTCCTTCTCTGCAAATTTGGGATCATTGTTCCTATGCTCCTCCCACCTCTCCATTAGTATGTATCCATGAATACTTGGACATGAGACCTCTTCATCCACTGGATGCGAGAGCCTAACTTGTGCCGGCCATATCGGTGGCGTTTAAAATATGTTGCTGAATGTTTTTAGACGGTGAACTCAGCAACGTTGCAGTCAGTGCCGATGTTAGTACCTGATCTTCGAGGGCATGGTCTGACCCATACTCAAGACGATAAGGATCTGTCAGCTGAGCGACAGACGAGGTGCGCCTTGTTTCATTCAATTTCGGAAGGTCTATCAATGCGGATCTGAATTATCGTTTCATAGACCAAAGTTTTCATTGGGTGTTTGAATTTTTGCAGAGTTCTCCCCACAAATATTCCTCTTTCATGTTCTTACTTACTTAAATTTTGCGAAATATTTTCATCGGCGTTAACCTATGTTCAGAGATATTATTGGAATTTATAATGCAGTTTTTGGCGGTGAATGCGAAGAAGATCCGCCTCTCGTGTGTGTTGTTGGTCACAGGTACTTTCTTCGCTCATCCTTTATTTTGTTTCTAGCGCTAACCATATAATCCATACTCGTAATTCAATGCCACTTGAAGTGGGCTATCTAAGACGTGTACGGAAAAGCGCTTTGATGGATGACTCTGCAACGGAGTCTGGCAAATTAGTTATAACCGTACCCAATTTCGGTTCGTACATAAGAAGAAACTAACGGCGATGGGTTTTCATGGAGAATTTTATTCATCTACTAATTCATATGCATGCATTACAGCATGGGTGGCGCGTTAGCAGTGCATGTCGTAGCCACTAATGAAATTCCAAACGTGGTAGCCTTAGTAGTCATTGACGTGGTGGAAGGCTCGGCCATGGAAGCTCTTGGAGGAATGGTTTGTTTCAATACGATCTCTATTTTTTTGCAATTTCCAAAACTAGTTACTCTGTAGTGAACGCAAGGGTGTCAGTCGCTAAGACAGAAAGCTACTTTTTTTGTTCCGCAGTGCAATTTTTTTCTCTGCCGGAACCTCAGGTCCACCTTCGATTATGAGTGGACCCGGGGTTCCTGCAGTGAGAATTTTTGATGCAGCAGAAACCGAAGGTTGCATTCTGCCCTAGCAATCCCTACCTTAAAGCGAAGCCGACCGCAAAACGTTAATAGTTCGAGCATAGTTTCAAAATTCAGAACATATCTCTTTTCCCACGAATATTGAGGACGCGTCTTTGCTTATGTACTACAAATTAGCTATTACTCGAATATCTGTCGTAAAATAGCTGATTTCGAGTTCCAGCTAACCTTCCTCCGTGGACGCCCGAGCACATTTGAGTCCGAGGAGAAAGCTGTCACCTGGTGCCTGCAGTCGGGTGCAACTAGGAATCGAGAGGCAGCCAGAATCTCAATGCCATCACAAATCAAAAAGACAGAGGTCGTAATCGGTCGCAGCTTCGCATCTAGGTAATCAATCAGAGACAAAAGCAGCTTCCTATTTTCAGTCACATAGGCACGTATAAATTTAAAGGATACAGAACCCTTTTGGGTTGGTTTCAAGGTTTATCAGCCAAGTTTCTGTCGTGCACCCCTCCGAAGCTGCTGGTGCTCGCTGGTGTAGATCGGCTCGATAAGGATCTCACGGTTAGCTTTTTGCAAATGTTCTTTACTCTGAGCTCCATGACGAGCATCTTCCTGTTTCTATGTTTCAGATAGCCCAAATGCAAGGCAAATTTCAAAACACAATTCTTCCGAAAGTGGGGCACGCCGTGCACGAGGACAGCCCCGACGGGGGACGAGTTTTGTGCTCGATTTGCTCTACGACATCGCCTTCGCTGGAAGCATGTGCTAGGCTGAGCACGACCACTCGCGCCATCCCATGATGGGTATGGAAATATGAATATAGCGCAGTGCCTGATGCGTCTATGCCTGTCCAGTTATTCTTTGTATTTTTCGTCATAGGCATGTTTTTGTTAATCATGAGATCTGGTCTAAAATTTATATAAATGTTACAACATTAGGCTTGCAGCTGCGTAATAATTCAAAGATTTTCGCTTACATAGTTTTATTGTTATTAAATTTTTGACGCTTCTTGTTTCAAGACACTATAGAAACTTTGCGGTAGGGTTTTCAGTCTAAAAATACAGGCAAACCACAGAGTGGGGTCATGTGTGCCTGCCATTCGGAAGCGATGAATTTTGGTACTACATAGGTGCGTGCCAGGCTCATATTTATTGCTTTTCATTCCCTATTTATTCTCAAGAGTGTATTGTTTATAGGACACAAAGATCACCAGCACTACAGTGGTAGGATCTGCGCTCGAAATGATGGTTTCATGAATGTGGCACTTCCCAGTCGCTGACAAAGGGACTCCTAGAAACTCAGGCGAGACTTGAATGATAGATATCCAGTTACAAGGCTGCGTCTATTCTCAAAGAGAAAAGTTGCAGACGGCGCATCAGTATACGAGAGCTGCATTTTTGTGCCCGGGATTGATAACCTCTTTCCCAAAACCATATGCGCGTCGAGCGCAAACCAACCACCACTAGTGGTTCATAGCGATAGCTGACACTCGGTAAATGGTAGCTGTAATTGATGACAACTGGGGTACAACTGCAACCGGCTAGTCATTTATAAGCCAGAGAACCTTTACGGGGTGCGTGACTATACAATCGTGGCAGTAAGTAGGTCGCCGCGCCGGCCGCCGCAGCCAGCAATATCGCGGCGAATTTGCAAAGAACTCAGCATCCAAGCATTGGGGAATGTAAGATTAGATCATGTTTCTATATCATGAAAATGTATTAGGTTGTCTCATAAATAGTGTCGCTTTTTTTCAACCAAAAATTTTGATCTAAATCCCCATGCTTTTACAGAGAGTTATATACCATTCGAAAGAGAATTGTCTGCTCTACAAAATATCGTGTTCTTCTTCCATCTATGTTCAATGGTTTTCAAATTTGAGGCATGCGAAATGGGAGGTCCCGCCGACAAAAATTGACCAAACCGACAACTAGCTCTAACTTTATGTTCCCTTGGGAGAAATCAATCAATGATGTACCCTCTACTTATGCATGACCTCTTCTAAACATTACACTATTAGGTTTCCCAACAAGTCGCATCATTCCATTTCCAGACCCGGTTTTTCAACCAGAACTCGACGGTTGAGCACCATTACCTGAGATCGAGGTCGAAATTTTTTTACAGCCGAGACATTGAAAAACTAGTAGAATTTCAAGAACAAGTCATGACTAAGTTAGGAATGTACGCCTGGTTGATTTTCTCATCTTCTCAAGGATAATTTTTTCAAAGAAATGCGGTCACTTTCGTGGATAAAGCACCTTACTCCTAAACACCTAAAATTCGAGCTAATTCCTAACAAACATCAAAACAAAACAAATGAGCGAATAGAGCAGAAGAAGTGCTCACAAAAGATACACCAGTTGATATAAAACAATAGCGTTTCAGAGGAAGAATTTCAATTTGAAAATTGCCATGGCTTATCGGTCGGCCAATTCGAAAAGAAACAGGGCAAACCTTTTTCGGCAACCTAAGGGTGGAATGTTCAGAAGAGGTCATGAGTAAGTAGAGGGTACATCATTGATTGATTTCTCCGAAGGGAACATAAAGTTAGAGCTAGTTGTCGGTTTGGTCAATTTTTGTCGGCGGGACCTCCCATTTCACAGGCTTAAAATTTGAAAACCATGGAACATAGATGGAAGAAGAACACGATATTTTGTAGAGCAGACAATTCTCTTTCGAATGGTATATGACTCGATGTAAAAGCATGAGGATTTGGATGAAAATTTTTTGGTTGAAAAAAAGCGACACTATTTATGAGACAACCTAATAAGAACCACCTACCTTTAAAATGCAGTTTCGTTTTCGCTCGCCGTTATTACATACTTATCATATCATGCTTATGTTAGAGCCTTCCTCGCCGCTACTCTGTGTCTTGATACGCAATATTCTTTCCGATTGAACCAGATTATCACTCTCTGATAGAAATTCAGGAAACTGATTAATAAAGAAGTCAAATTAAATCCAAAAGGACAACCTTTACACGGTACAAAGTTTGTACTGCGAGGCTTAAATCACTGCAGGGATCTTACAGTGACGCTTGCTGGCTTACTGATGTCCAGCACTCTGGTGTTATCAGTCACCTAGCCAACTTATGGGCATGGATGGATAAGAAAAGGTCCACACAGAAATCGCCGCAGCAACTGCCGCACGCGACGATTCTCGCCGCGTGAGCGGCGTGACCTCATTAGCCGACGATTGTATAGTCCGTCGCCCAACATTTATATCTCGTGGAAGAAGTCGTCACTTGTGGTGTGTGGTCTGCACACGATGCGCATCTGGTTTTCGGAAGCAGGATATACTTGCCGTTAAAGTAGATGAGTTGTAGACAACTACTAATAAGTGCCACTACCAATAAGGAGAAGCTAGTTTTGCATGTTTGCAGAGAATAGACGCAGTTCGAAAAGTGCTTCTTCACTAGACACGGCTTAAAAAATTCAAATGCGCCCTCAAATTATCTCAAGGCTGCATGGGCTCATCCATAGCTCGTTTCATTCGCTGATAAAATTGACACAATAGAGGCTGTCACGTTTCTGCAAGGGGCAGCAGCACCCAAAGTGTGATGTTTCACGCATATCTCGACAGACTACTCACTGGGTGCCGATCAAAAAGATCCCACAATATTTACGTAGAGGTGCTTCATGCAGATATTTTATAGAAGTTTCTAGGTCTAAGGGTATGAAGGCAATTTTCTAAAGAGAAAACTTGTCATTTTGAAAAGTGTAAAGCTATTTTTGTTGCGGTTAGCTAAATTACTGACACAGCTTCTGTTACAACATCTATTCTCAAACTCGTATACCGATTTTGGAGCGGAAAATTGAGGTTTTTCATACCGAGCTCACCCTTTTTAGGCAATACGATTCTGAGAAGATTTGTCACGAGAATGACATTCGAAAGAGACTGAAGGAAACGATGCTGTGACAGTTTCCAAGTTCAGTTTTGACCCTGACATTAATAGCGCTGATACATCCCGGCTCTAGGAAGCACTTTTGGGTATGGGCCGTAAGGGTGCTGTCCAACACCAATTGCCCAATGGCCGATGTCAGACTTTGCGACTGGAGCGATCTTGCTAATCGCTGCCACGCCCTTCGATCGATACCCTGAGAGAGCATCTCACTCTGGTTCTATAATGTAATCTGGTGACTAGCAAATGGGAACTATCTAGGGTCAGGGATGGACATCTCCTCATTCAAGGGGATGGAATAGAACTACGGTAGCCGCATCCTATGACATAGCTTGCAAATGCAGCCTGCACTCCTGTTGCTTTCTTTGTTGAGCGCGCTTGATCACTGATGTCTACAAGAGCAGGCTTTTAATAAACTAGTAAAAATGATTGTCTGCTGACCACGCGCTTCATGGACGAATTCAAAGTGCTACCCTCCGGCGCAGAGCACGATGACAACACTTTTCACGTGAATGGGAGCTGCCTGGGGCTCCGCCCACTTAGAGATTCGTTCTTCAACTCGGGTCCACTCACTCCGGCTTAGCGT